ATCACTTTATACCTCTCATACAGTTTGGAGAATTGTATATAGATAATTTAGCAACAGAAAATATTGACTGTAAGATAAAGTGATAGGAATATATGACATGATTATAGTAGTAAATCTATATTCTCAATGTGTTTTCTATATGTAAGGCATATAAGTCAACTGTTTATTAATGGATTGTAGAAGTACTCTGCACATTGTAGATATCTGAGCTATTACCTTGTGTGTGGTTTAGATAACAACACAAATATATGTCATAGTACTTAAGCATTAAGTTCACTCAGCATAGGATTAGAAATACAGTTTTGCCTAAATTAGAGATTCAAACTTTTATGCTTGTTCAAATAAACATGTATCAATATGCAATATGCCAAGAATTCTTGATTTGAAAAATTTGAATTACATCATGAAAAAGTGTTCATTCTGTTTGGAATAGAGGAATGTGAGGTTTTAGAATCTACTTTTATTGTGGACACTACTACAGCCTGTCCGTCTGTAGAAGCTATCTGGAATGATGTCAGCAACTGCATTCTTTTTATTATTTTTCTTTTGTTTTGGTTTTGGTTTTTCGAGACAGAGTTTCTCTGTGTAGCTTTAGAACCTATCCTCGCACTTGCTCTGGAGACCAGGCTGGCCTTGAAGTCACAGAGATCCACTTGCCTCTGCCTCCCGAGTGCTGGGATTAAAGGCGTGTGCCACCAACGCCCCACAAGCAACTGCATTCTTAAGATAAGAACGCTAACATTTGTGGTCAATATATTTGAGTCAGAACAGAGTAAGAATATTTTTTCCACTAATCTTTGAAAGTTTGAAGTCATTTTCTGCAGTCTTCATTAGCTATTCACTATTAGGTGAAAAGTTAAGCTTTCAACCTGAAGACTTACCCGAAAATTAGGTTTTCTTTCCAGCCACATCTTATTTTACATTGCTTTGGTATTTGAACACATTAATGACAAACACTATTGTTTTTTGTTCTAGTCTTTTATCTCTTCAGTTTCTGGAGCCTCTGACCCAGATTGTTCAATAGTCTACTGACATACATTGAAATTTTACTATTTGCCTCTGTTTAAAGGCTGTCTTTCTGCCCCCTGATTCTTTCCCAATTGTCATTCCCAGTACAAGTGAGGCACACTGTTTATGAGAGGCATTCTGCTCACAACACGGTTTCATTAATCCAGTCACTTCTGAACAATAAGTTCTTCCATATTCAGAAAGATGAATACATCAACAAAAGGGTTAACATGTCAGGAGAAGTTTGTGTGTATCCAAATGAAGACATGACATGGTGTTCATTAATCGCTATTACAGAGCCATTTTAGACATCCAATTCTTTGCTAATTATAAAAATGAAGGCTATCCAGAAAGTGCAGTGAAGATCAAAAGTTGCCATGGTGACTATGCAGAGACAGTGAGCATTCAATAAATTGCTTAAAAATATTTATGTTCTAGTCTTTATCAACTAAGTTATTACTTGAAGGATTCAAGTAGCTGCTTTCTCTTTTTTATGGGAATGAAATCTAATTTGTTAAATTCTTCAATATTACTAATATTAGTTGTCAAAGAAAAATAATCATGAAGTATAAGCATAATAAAGTAATTTTTATTTGTTTATTTTTAAGAGGGTTTCTGAGTATAACCTTGGCTGTCCTGGTATTCACTCTGTAGACTAGACTGGTCTCAAACTCATAGAGATCCACCTGCCTCTGCCTCCTTAGTGCTGGGATTAAAGGCATGTGTCATTATGCCCAGCAATAAGTTTTGGATAAAAAAGGAACCTCCATTATTCTTTGCAAACTTTATGATGGCTTAGAAATTTAAACAGTGATAGTAATCCAGGATTCTTTCATTAAGAACTAAAGATGAAAAGAAAAGGAACAAAAATTAAGCAATTCTCTATGTCAAGACAAAATTGCTTGTGACAGCTGGCATAGTAAAAGGACACTCAAAAGAAAGGCGAAAGGCAATAGAATAGGCAATACTGCTGTGGGTTCATTTAAAAATTATGCAATAGGACACAAAAGATACAACAAAAGAAGAAAACAGTAGATCCTGTTGTTTCATTTAAGCCTTTACAATATGCTAAGTAATATGTCACCTGATTTACACATTTTACTCATTTATTCATATTACCCTGTGAGTGAGAGACATTCTTGCCCCCACTTTACAGATAGTAAATTTATCCTTAGAAGTTAATTTATCCACAGTCATATGACTTGTCTCTGATAGTAGGCCTGGGATGTTAGGCCAGAGTACATGTTACACTATTACAGAAACAGTGGAGGATAATATCCAGAAGAGTCCAAAGGCTCAAAGAGCCTTTCACAGCTGTGGCTCATAAACTACTCTCTAGATTTGGCTTACAAAGTAAAAAGAAATGCTTTAACTTTAACAGGGTGACAAGTTTGGAGAGAGAGAGAAAGCTCAAGGAAAAAGGGCTTTCAAAGCTATAAGTGGTTGGCCCAGGGCCAGGAAAGCACAGTGTATAAAATCTTTGAAGGTTAAAGGATCTCTATAGACTAAAAGGCTAAAGCAACTTTCTGGTCACATTACTAAGAGTAAAGTTCTTATACATAAAAAACCAATTAGCCTATTTATCTCTGCACTTGAGATCTCAGTATAATAATTCAGCTGCTATGCTAAGGTTATGATTATAAAAACACTTACTCATCACTTAATTTGACCCGATATTATCCTAACTGCTATTTGACTCTAATAGCAATGCTACAGAAAAGTACTCCTATCATACCTTGTGGAGGGAATAGGTTATGTTTGATGTCAGAAATCAGTCTTTACAAAGATATTCTGCTGATGTCAGAGTAGATAAATAATTACAATGACTATGTATTTTACACAATCATTTTGATATGTTATAATCCTTTTCTAAAATGACTTATCTGAAAATTACACTTGCTAAGCATATTTAAAGATTGTTAGTATTTTCAATACAGTCACGTATTTGCAAATAACTGGAATTTCCTTTAGTGGGAATAGTATTATTTTAGGGTCTTACAGGTTGTATTAGGTTGAGAAAGGACTCTGCAGGCATTGGGAGGGATAAAAGAAGGTAAGGAGTACTCAGGTATGTTCACAACACATTTATAATATTGTTAAAATTTTAAAAAATAATACAGCTGGGCGGTGGTGGCACCTGCCTTTCATCCCAGCACTCGGGGAGGCATAGTCAGGCAGAGCTCTGTGAGTTTGAGGAAAGCCTGGTCTACAGAGCAAGTTCTAGGACAGGGTCCAAAGCTACACAGAAAACTCCTATCTCAAAACAAAAACAAAAAACAAAACAAAACAAAGAAAAAATCCAAAGTATAAAAATCTAAATAAAAGAAAGGAATTAATGAATTGAATTATGAGCTTATATAATCTGGGGGTCAATGTCACACAAATGAAACACAAAGCTGTGTGTTACAGTATAGTAGCTGATTTGTTGAGCTATTTAAGTTGTAATTTCCTGATGGCATATGCCGAACAAAGTTACTTGTTAGTATTGTTTATTTATCCCCTTTTATTTATTTCTTTTTCAGTGCTGGGGACCAAACTCAGGCTGTGCTTGCTAAGCAAGCTCCTTACCAATAAACTCTACACAAGTCCTGAAGCAAAGTTCTGATACTCAATACAGTGAGAAAACAGTATTGTGCTTTTGTATTTCATTCTAGATTGTTCACTTGTTACCTACAGTGAACAAAATTGATATTCAATGTATAATATTGATAGCATAATTTATGTGTGTGTGTGTGTGTCACAAGCTGAAACTAATGAAATCAGCATATTCTAGTTAGAAACCAGAAATTTATATTAGGTAAGCAATTTTATTTAGTTAGTAAACATGCAATACTTTAAAAATCATACAGAGAAACTAGCCAGATTCTGTAACCAAGTAATAAAAATGCAAGAATTGTAAAAATCTTCTAAATCTGGGAATATGTGCAAATTAGAGATATTGAAATAATTACTATAAATGTAAATCAACTACATGTGTTAAGCTGCATGTATCATGGGATTTACATTCTTATAATCTACTGAAGTCCAATTTCCTGAACGAAAAGTAAGGGCCCCAGAAACATTTTTAAGTTTGATTTTATTTGGAAGGCACTAACTTGATCATTGAATTTTTTACATTTGATAGAACATTAATTTTGTATAAATATAAGATTGATGAGTACTGAAGTTTGAAAAATGAAAATTGATAATTTTGAATGGACTTATGTTTAGACTTGAATTTCACTGTGTTTCAGAAAACTAATATATATAATATGAAATGAAACACATTTATAGCAGTGTATCATGCCATATTACAGGCTATTTCAAATTGTCTAGGATACAAATTACATAAAAACTTAGAAAACAGCGTTTATTACTATAAAATAACTCAAGATACAGAATTTTTTCATGTTTACTTTTTTCAGAGTTCATAACTGCTATATATTTTGTTGATATAATTTTTATATCTGTAAAGCAGACTGTTCCACCCTTTAGTTAAAATAGACAGATAACAGACATATGAGGTAGGCATGACTATAAAGTCACCTGCAACAAACATAATCACAGTGATGTCTTTCAAATTAAAGTGCTTTTAAAAATCATGTTCACTTAATACTTTATCATGGAAAATTCTGCTGCATTTGAAATTTTTCTTTAAAACATAGTTTTCTTTAAAACATTTATTAATGACAAAGGCCCAAATGCTATGGTTTAATATACCAATTCCACTTTTAAAAGTTATCCTAAAAATCTTTAGGAAAAAACGATCAAAGAATTCAACTTGATCAAGAGAGTGGATGAGTGAAAAGCCTTGATTTACATAATACAATTAAAGAAATACTGATGCCGTTAAATTTAGAAATAATTTAATTTGGTCTATATCAAAGAAGACATGTAAAGGAAGACAAGAGGCCAAAGGCATGTTTGTGGGGTAGCACTGGTTGCTGGCACCATAACCACTATCTGTAAAAGGATGCTTGCTGGCATTAGCTTCCGCAATCCATGTGTGCTTTCTAAATTAATTCTGAAGGAAACCATAGCTTACTTGAGGATCCCGATGAGAATCTGTGTGCCTGGCTTTTTTTATCTCTGTTCACAGACAAAGCACTTCCACTGGTCATGGAAAAAAGGTCTAAATCCGTGTCTTCTCTGCTTACAAGTCTTGCCTGGAAGGAACGGGAGAGAATGTATACAATCATGAAACAAAATATGGCATTTTCTGAATGCAGATCACATTACCCCAAATAAACAAACAGGCTCTGTCAAACAACCTTCTTCAAAATGATACCACAATCCTTTACTGCTGCCCAGCCAGAACAAATGCACTATGTCAAAGTGCTTTTTGCAAATAAGAGCCGATTTTAAAATTGAGGTTTGCTATTTGAGTCTGCACAACAAAAGACAACATTTTAGTACAGTGATTTCGATGAAAATCAATCTTAGAAGCAGTGGGTAAAGCTATAAACGGTTTAACTTCACTTACTGACCAATTATATTGTTTAATACGTAATCAAATGTTAGAGATGTCATATTATATGATTTTTACAGTATTTATATTTATTGTTTTCTATCAACAATCCTTGAACTGAATGTTCCATATTTGTGGACCACTGCCTCACAGACTATACACATGCTTTCATTATACCCATTGTCATTGTAAAATATTACACTTCTAAAGGTCTAATTTTGAGGCAATGTTAAGTATATAGTAATTTCAAGGCATATTTTATGCACTCAATGGATTATTCTGTCATCTGAAATTACAATTACAATTTTTATTGCTATGTTGTATTGCTACTTAGCATCAAAAGAATTGCTTGTTACCTACAGGATATTCTCTTACAGAATATCTTGTACCATTAGAAATGTATCAAGACTGAGCTGTGAAGTGGGGAATATGCTGTTACAAAAAAACAAAACAGCCCCTAAGTGGATGGGAGCTACCCCAAACCACTGTATAATTGGAATCTTGTGAGATCACGAATATCATCCTAAATGTTTGATGGAAGGAAAATTTAAATACAGCAAAATAAAGACAAGAAACCATCACTGTGGTTAAAAAAGCTATCGCTTGGTCATCAATTACACAGACCAAAGGAATCTGAATCTAAATATCCTCTTTCACATTTAGATATCACCCTCCTCCTCTGCCTTCCTGCACTTCTCCATCTTCCTGTTTTCTCCTCCTCCTCCTGTAGTCCTCTTTCTTCTCATCCTTCCCATATTTCTCCCTTTCTTTTTTGGAACTCTGCTCTCTTCCTGGCTGCCATGGAACTCTCTAGTGTTAAGAGTGCAAGCATACCCCATATCTGGCTTGCCATTTTCTTTTCCCACCTTCTCAGTCTCACTCAAAATACTTGTGCTTTTTCTCAAACAAACATAATATTAAAGTTACAAAATTTGTGCGTATTTATGTTTTATAAGACATTTTTAATTTGTATACACTATGCAATACCCTCCCCCAAAGCTATTGGCATATGAATTAATCAGAAAATTTTTCAGGCCTTCCATAAACAAACCTTTGGGCCATATCTCAAATTCAAACCATAAAACAGAAAATCAAATTTTAAATAGCAGTTTAACAGGAACATATGACTTCACGAAAATGCCATCTAACAGCCTAAATTGAAATTTGCAAACATTTTTGTTTTATTTCACGGAAAGACAAAATGGTTCCATCCTGGTAACTTTCTACAGAAACCTGGAATTTCATATGTAGGCTCAATCCATGATTGTCAGTGAATCTGGTATAGCTCCTAGATTATTGAAGCTTAAATTCTATACTTGAAACATTGCCGTCAGCATTATTCTATCAGCTAACAGAAAAATTATAAAAAAGAATGTATGTTTTCTGTTGCATGCTTGTTATCACTAAGATATAATGTGTCTCCCCAAAAGGCTTATATTCTGGAGGCTTGGACTGCACTAGTAGATCTGCAGTATTTGGAAAACGAGGATTCACAGACAGCTTGGCCTGAGCTGGTAGATCCTATATGCAGGGATTGCATATAGAATTGCATACAGAAACTGGAATAATCCACCAAGGGTCTAAAAATCTGTTTTCATAATTGGGAGATGGTGCAAAAACTCGAGGTCGGGCAAAGCTAAAAGAAGTATGTCACTATATCTTGTCCTAGGGTCCCTTCCTGCTTCTCTCCATCTCTTAGCTTCTATCACCATAGTTCCAGAAACAGACTCTAGTGACTGTGGGCTTAGGCCTCTGTAACAGTAAGTCAAAAGAAGTCTATTCCTTCATGGAGGTTTTCTTTTCCATGTATTTGACACAGTGACATAAAACCAGACTGAATATGAAAAATACTTATTCAGTATTTCCTTTGAACACATGGGTTCCAGGACTGTGGTGACTACTGAGGATGATATGTCATATTTGTCAAATGATTCAGTGTTTACATTGCTCTTTTGTGAGTGCACTAACATGTCCTCATTAGGATGATGTAGTCAACAATGAGTTTCATATTCAATACTAGTCTCTAAGGTTATAATGTAGATGAAAATTCTTATTGTCTAACAACATCATGACCATTTTGCTACTGGTGTAAAAAGATCTGCCCACACAGCCAATCACATAAAACCATAGCAATATAATTTTGTACAATACATAATAATTGAAAGTGATAATAAAAGACCTTATATCCATGGATGCCAATGGGGAGGCCCCTGCACTCCTGGGAGCCTCTGGAGGTGGACTGGAGTTTTGCCCTGGTGGGTGGGAGGGACTTCGAGAGCCCATCCCACTTGAAGGGATTCGCTCTGTCTCTGGGAGAGGGAAAGTACATGTGAAAATATTAATAATTTAATAAAAAAAGATACTAAAAAAAAGACCTTATATCTATTGGCTAATGTAATTTCTATCAATGTTTTAGAGTATTATTCTATTTATAAAAACATAGGTTGACTATAGAGCAGTATGCATTACATCAGAACAGTTTAGTGGATATTTTGTATACTTTATCTGTAATTTATAAAAAGAGGTTATCAAGAGAATTAACTGTAACAATAAATCTTTCCGCCAAGTCATCTGAGCCCTGCCGCCATGCACTTCATTTATCAACCAATAAGACAAACATATACACAGAAGGATGTCCCCCATCATCTCCTCTTTTCTGTCTAAATAAAACAAGTGTTTTAACATCAACATAGTAAAATATATAACAAAACTGTTATCAAGTAATAACTACAGTTACAATATTTAGTTCATTAACATTTAGCAAGATTTAAAGAAATTATTCTATCATCGCTTATATTCTGAGTCTGCTTGCTATGACACTTCCTGCCTGGATCACAAGACTTCTCTTTACTACATTTCCCAGAATCCTCCTCAACTCCTAGTCCCACCTAACTTGCTTCCCTATTGGCCAACAGTACTTTATTTACCAACCAATAAGACAAACATACACACAGAAGGACGTCCCCCATCAAAATTAACCTATGCTAAGTTTGAGTAAGTGCAGCACATAAAGTAAGAATGAGTAGAAAATGCAGAATAGTTAGGAAACTATCTTAGATGAGAGCAGGTAAGATACTTGACATGTTTTAAATACCTCTATATAATTTACACTCAATGAAATGCATAATATTTAAAATTTTCAATGTTCAAGATTTATATGTTTAATTTGCAAGGAAGTTGCAGAAAACAATACTAAACATTTCCTTTGCAACCTACACCTAGCTTGCTCTGTCATTTTTATACAACAGAAATAGAATTATCTTTGCTGCTAACAAGCCAACAAATTGATGTGGGATGCAAAACTCCCAATTACAGGCCCTGTTATGTCTTGAGCAGGTTTTACATGTAATATTTGTTTTGGTTGTAGTTCTGTTACTCTTCATTATATGTATACATCATTATAACTTCCATTACAATCAAGTCAGAAATTTGTTTTATTATTCCAAAGAAAAGCCTTTACTCATTGTCACCTTCAGGTTAACTAGCAACTACTGATATGCTCCCTTTTAGCACTGTGATTTTCAGAATGTTACATGAGTGAAAATGTACAGTTTTATACTATACAGCAATCTGAGGTAAACTAACACCATGTTCTGGTGCATGTTAATATTTCCTTGCTTATTGCCATACAATCATTTTATTTTACATCCATTTAATCTATATTTTCACACACTAAGTGGACTTTGGTTGTGTTAAGTATTGCAGCTAATATGAACAAAACTACTATAAAAATATTGTTCTGCATTTAAAATGAATAGGTTTGAAAATTCTTGGAGAATTTTAAATTTGAGAATCTATTTCAATCATATTCAGCCCCCTTTATATACTAATTTTTTAATGAATGTTCATTTCTTTGGAAAAATGTTGAGTAGCTCATCAGTTGCATTTATGTTGCTAAATTTTGTTCATTAAACTTCTTTAATCAAAAAGAAATATAATTACACCACTCCCCCCTACACTTTTCTCTTTATAACCACTCCCATACCACCGCCATTACTCTCTCTTCAAATTGATGGCCTTTTTTTCTTTATTATTGTTACGTTGTATTATATTGCTAGATACATAATCACATATAGATATATATTTACATGTAAATATATAAATACAGTCAGCTGAGTTTGTTTAATGTTGCTTTGTGTATTTAATTTCAGGGCTGACAAGTTATTATTAGATAATTAATCAGGGTAATCATCCCTGGGAAAGATTGATCCTCCCTCTATCAGGGGTCATTAGTTGTCTGTATTTGCTTGGCAGTGGGTCCTGTGAGATTTCCCCCTTCTATGTCAGCATGAACCACAGCATGACCAGTATGCTAAGATATCACTACAGGTTCAAGAGTGGCATTCATAATGTGATGGCAACCAAGAGCTGTCTAAAAAGATTTCAGGCACATTCAACAGGAGGGAAATCACATCTGGTGCAGGAAACCTAGCGAACTTCCTGGGATAAGAAAGACCATGGACCATAATGTAGAAACTACTACCACTACTTACTAGATCAGCATAATTCCCAGTTGTGTTCTAAAACTTATCTGTATACCAACAGATAAGTATAGACCTCATCTTGAATCAAGATAAACAAAACGAATTCTTCAATTTGCAGCAAACAGACCATTACAGAAAATCACAACCGAAAACAATCCAGTGATCAAGTCATCATGGTATGCTCAGTCTGAATGGATGCATCTACAATAAAACTCCTACACGTACACCTCAGGGAATATCATGGAAGAAGGTATAGAAAGATTATAACAGCAGAGGAACAGTATGTCTTCTGTATGATTATGTATCATAGAAACAAGAGAGAACTTACACATAATATCTTAACAATATGGCACCTAGCAATACTTGAACAAATACAATACCAACAGATAAGTTAACATAGGAGGGGTAATTCAATAGAAATCACAATCTCAAATTTGAAAATCTGAATCTACTTCCAAAATAACCTGGAATATGACTATTCTCTGGGAAACTGCATAATTTGATTCATTTATTAATTTAACTCAATTACCAACATACTTTTCTATATTGTTAACATATTTCCCAATACATTTTATAATAATATAAAATGATATTTTCCAATTTCTTTCAGATGCATAACATAGTTTGGTCTTGCTTAAGCAGAGATATTATTTTCTTTTACATACAGAAATCCACTTTGATTATAACTTATGCTATAATATGTAAGTTAAATAAGAGATATACATAATTTTATCTACATTACTAATAATTTGTTGCATTTTAATGTTTTGCCTCTTCTCTTAAAAGTGGCAACTAACAAATGTGGTCTTCAAATTGATGGCCTTTTTTTCTTTATTATTGTTACGTTGTATTATATTGCTAGATACATAATCACATATAGATATATATTTACATGTAAATATATAAATACAGTCAGCTGAGTTTGTTTAATGTTGCTTTGTGTATTTAATTTCAGGGCTGACAAGTTATTATTAGATAATTAATCAGGGTAATCATCCCTGGGAAAGATTGATCCTCCCTCTATCAGGGGTCATTAGTTGTCTGTATTTGCTTGGCAGTGGGTCCTGTGAGATTTCCCCCTTCTATGTCAGCATGAACCACAGCATGACCAGTATGCTAAGATATCACTACAGGTTCAAGAGTGGCATTCATAATGTGATGGCAACCAAGAGCTGTCTAAAAAGATTTCAGGCACATTCAACAGGAGGGAAATCACATCTGGTGCAGGAAACCTAGCGAACTTCCTGGGATAAGAAAGACCATGGACCATAATGTAGAAACTACTACCACTACTTACTAGATCAGCATAATTCCCAGTTGTGTTCTAAAACTTATCTGTATACCAACAGATAAGTATAGACCTCATCTTGAATCAAGATAAACAAAACGAATTCTTCAATTTGCAGCAAACAGACCATTACAGAAAATCACAACCGAAAACAATCCAGTGATCAAGTCATCATGGTATGCTCAGTCTGAATGGATGCATCTACAATAAAACTCCTACACGTACACCTCAGGGAATATCATGGAAGAAGGTATAGAAAGATTATAACAGCAGAGGAACAGTATGTCTTCTGTATGATTATGTATCATAGAAACAAGAGAGAACTTACACATAATATCTTAACAATATGGCACCTAGCAATACTTGAACAAATACAATACCAACAGATAAGTTAACATAGGAGGGGTAATTCAATAGAAATTTATACATATGTATAAATATATATGTATACACACACACTATATGTATATATATACATATATATATATATATATATATATATATGAATATGCATGACATTCTCCTAGGAATTTTACTGAAATACAAGAAAATATTTAATGGTGATAATTTCAAATAGTAACATAGAATTTTTCCTTTCCTTTCTCTCAATATATATAAATATATACATATACATCATACACACATATTGTAAGTGCCTGGAAAGACATAATACTATTTTTCATCATAAATAAAAGAAGTATCTTTGGACATGAAATTCTCCATGAAAAACAAAATATTAATAATCCATTTTCTTGGTCAATATAGAATCTGAACAAGGAATATTTGTTAGTTTTCATAAATGGAAGGTGTTATCCACTTCCATCAACTACAGAAGTACCATATACTCACGGGTTATGATACCCTCTTCAATATCTCTGAGACAGCACTGAAACATTTCCTTTTAATGAGATCCACTTTTCTAGCTCCCATATTGGCCACATTCCTCTATTTATAAAGGGTTTCTTCAATAGCTTACAGAAGAGCGAATTCAACAGGCATATGCCTTCCATTTTCCAGGCTACACTCTTATTACCATGTTTAGAATCTGACCTTAAAGCTCAAATAATACTTAGCAGAGTACCACCACACTCCATAAAAATAAGAGGGCTTAAGCTGATAATCACTTGTTACTTTTAATATGATTTGATTTTCCATGCTGGGAACCCATATTGCTGATTCTTTCTAGTGTAATCTACAAATTCAACTCTTAAAAATTTTAAGAAAATAATCTCATTAAGCAATTTCCCATCCAGAGTAATTTTGTTTAACATGTTAATATTTTCACATCTGTCAAATAAAATCATTATTTTAAGCAATGTCATATTGCAACATTATATTGCAAGTCAAGAAAATATGTTATTATTTTAGCACATGGCATTTGAGGTTGTCCCAAAATACAGTTGCGATATTTCATAGTTTAAACATATTATGAACATATTTGAAAGTGTTATTTATTGGGTATGTGTGTCTATAACATTTTTCGGTAACTTTAAACATATTTCTTACCACAAGTTGAACTCTTCCACCATTAAGTACATCTGGATCTAACTCAGGCAAAAAGTGATTGCTTCATGGTGACACAAAAGGAAAACAAGTTACAGTATAAACATGGAGGAAAAAATATTAAAAATACCCAAATGTCTTTATTCATAAAATAGAGACAAATTGTAAATTATGTTATATATAAGTGCACATATTATATATACTTCTATTATTTGTAAATTAACTTTTCAAAAAATTAATTTCTAAACAATACTTCAGTACCACCTTTCTTTTTTTTGAAGTATAAACATTAATGAGCAAAAATCTAAAAGTACTAACAATGACAGTTAATAAATTATAGAAAACCTAAGTGTATTTTAATGACATTTACTTCTTTTTTTCCCCACTTATCTTTAGCTCTTTGAGATAGGGTCTCATACAGTCTACGCTGGATTCAAACTCACCATATAGTCAAAGACAAGCCTGCCTGAACTCCTAGTCCATTTGTCTCCACCTCCAACTACTGGGATTGATTATAGGCCTGCATCAGCCTCATAACTTTTATAGTCTTAACCTTTCACTTGATGCAGACAATGTTTTCTACTTTGGTGCTCTACTATGTTTTGTTTTGGGTTTTGTTTTGTTTTGTTTTGGTTATGGTTTTTTGAAACAGGGTTTCCCTGTGGCTTTGGAGCCTATCTTGGCCCTTGCTCTGTAGACCAGACTGACCTCGAACTAACAGAGATCTGCCTGCTTCTGCCTCCCAAGTGCTGGGATTAAAGGCGTGTGCCACTAATGTCAGGCTTCTACTATGTTTAATGCACCCTACTAATATTTACAGTGAAGTTTAATTTTTCCATGATACTGATATTTTTCTTTTTAAAGACTTTGTCTTTGGGAGCTACAGACATGGTTCAATATTAAGAATTTAAGGTGTAGTAGTCTGTACTTAGAATCACAGAGCTGTGGGGTTAGGAGGGCAGATAAACAGATCCACAGACTTTTCTGGGCAGCCAACCTACCCTAAATCAGTGATTCCCAGTCTAACAAGTCACCATGTCTCAAACAATATTAAAAATTATTAAAAAAAATAATAGGGCACAAATTGTGTGGGCAGAGAAGGGGTTGTGGATCTGGGAGGAGATGGGGAAGTAAGTGAAGATGATCAAAATGAACTGTTCAAATTGTTAAAGAACTAACAGAAAAAAATCAGACGGAAGGTTCCTGAAGAATGAAATTAAAAGACTTCAACATAACACACACACAAATGTGCATTTGCAGACATATACATGCACCTCCCCAAAATGCACTTACCCCAAAATGTGCACATGCACACACAACACACACACACACACACACACACACACACACACACACACAGGTTTTCTATTTTTTAATGTGATTTTTGAAAATATTATAAAGAAATCTTTTATACATAGTAAATAGAAAATAGAAATTCTGAGGAATTGTTTGTGCCTTCTACTAGATACATATTTTGCTTACTAGTAAGTGGTAATATTAAATATTTAAACATTTAAAAATCACCTTAAAATTGTTTTTATTTTCCACTGTCTCACATCTACATTAACACTTTAACTTCTGAACTAGATCTCTCATATCTAGTTAATAGAGATAAGTAATTGTGTTTGGTCTATTTATTATAATTCTAAGTATTATATTCCTATTGACTAGTCAACCAGATTAATGTGAACATGAAGTAAATCTATGTTTGCATTAATTGGAACACTTCAAAATAAAACATGAGAACTATTGATGGCTTTATTTCTTTCTTTGTTCACAATAAATATGTCAAATAACAGAAAGTTTCTATTTTCACTTTTTTATTAAATGAAGTCCCATGTTTTAAGAAGTCAAATGGGCTGAAGTCCCCATATATGAAAGTTTAACTCATATACATCATCATAAAACTTCAATTCAGAATTTTAGCTGTCCATTTTATAAATAACCATTTTAGAACAAGTCTATATGTTGACAAAGCAACAGTTACTGGATACTGCATGCTTTCTTTATGCAGTAGAGGAGACTGCATGGTTCATGCATGGTTTTAGGGATAACAGAATAGAGTTCTTCCTAAACACTTTTGATGAAAACTATAGAGAACAATTCAACCCACTCTACATGAAAGCCTCTGGCAATGCGATGCATTGGCTTTTGGCTACGAAGTTGTATTTGTTTTAGCACAATTAACCCAGGTTTCACTTTTCAAGATATGTTTACTATACATAATCTAATTTAAAGGAAATAGCCTCACCATTTCAGGGCTCTGGAACTAGTTGTTTCTGGAAAGACAACTTGTGTATGAAGCCACTGGTAGGTGTACTCACTCGTCTTTTCTAACTTTTCATTCACAGTGATCGGCTTGCAGACAGCGTCTTCCTCCTCATCTTGGGAAGAAATGTGTAACATTTGTCATTCAAAGAACTAAAACCACAGCAGGTTGCTTACATGATCCTAAGTATATCATCATAATAAAAGAAGTACTAACTAATGCGTGGTGACTAAATAACATCAGCTATTAAAAAAATTAAGCATCTCTGTTTCAGTTTCAATCAACCACTTTGAAGAATAAAAGAAAAATTTTAATGCAGCTACCATTGTTTAAAAATAGTTTCAATTAGGAAACTCGGTTGTTTTGAAGAGACAATAGACTTTTCTTATATAAACTGGCTTGCTTTTAGGCTTATTTTAAGATCCAGTTGTCCTTGTATCATCCTCATATACAATAGAACTTATAGATTACAACAAAGATATTTAAAACAGATTTTTGATTTTACAGAATTGAGCTCTGTGTAAGCTAGTATTGTTTCCAATTATTAACAGCTTGCATTAATTATTCAGAACAATGAATTTCATTGTGATATTTGCATACATGGTAGAGGAGGGGACTGATTCTCAAAAGTTGTCCACTAATCTAAACATATCACATGCTCTGGCACAGGTGAGCTCAAACACACACACACACACACACACACACACACAGAAGTATATAACATGATAAAAGCAATCTTATGTTAAGTTACAAGAATCTCTGTTTTTCAGCGTGTGTCTGTGTGTCTGTGTGTGTGTGTAGAAAATCATGCAGACATTGCTGCTGTGTCAGTGTCACACATTTTATTTACACCAGTGTTTTGCAGCATCATTGTTTAGCACGGTGGGCTTGCTCCTTTACACTGCTTGTTTGTGGAGCCCTCATAATTGATAAGGGCTTGCTGACTTTGTAAGCTCGATGGCCTTCATGCTTCTACTGTTAATTCATGGTAACCAAACTCACAAGTACATAAAACTATAAAATCTAATGGTTAAAAAAGCTAATTTTTCCAGGTACAGCAGTAATCACAGCGTTTAGAAGTGCTGACGCAAGAATGCAAGTTCAAGGTTCATCTGGGCTACTTGAAAATTGTCGGGCAAACAAGGGAAAGATATTGAGACCATTCATTTAAATAAAAAGAGAGTAAATAAGTAAAAGAAAGTCAAATGCCAACTTATTAATTTGAGACATTCTCACAATTATTGCTTGACCTAGAAATCGGAATATTTGCATGTTCTTTGGAAAATGAAGCATATTTTCAAACACATAGTGAATGTATATAATATACTCCTGTGTACACACAAATGTTAGCATGCATAATGCTAAATATGATGAGATGAACATCTTACATCTCTTTTTCCTGTATAGGTCAATGACTCCAGTTCAAATCAAGAAGATTTTAGAATCAGTATAAAGGTCTAAAAGCATGGTGCTTGTTCTGTAATGTCTAAGTTGGTTCTGATGCTACCACATGATTCTAAAATGTCCACAGCTCCTGCCAAGCAACCTTGTGGTAATGCTTCATTAGTTACACCTGGAGGAAGAATTCCTTCACATGCCTGGGTTGGATGATGAACTCTAGGTCAGAGGCATTTGGTACATACAGAAAGTATAAAGCAGACAGCCTCAAAAGGAAGATGTGTTGTCACAGCTTACAAAGTTAAGTGTCTCTGTGGAACCTGGCTTCTGACGTACCATTCTTGGTTGACCACACCAGGTCAACCAAGACGTAATGTGGTAAGATTTCTGTGAGTCTGATGATCAGCTGAGGCAAGGCTCAAACCTTACCTATCCTTAATATGTAGAAAATATGTTACAATAAGCATATCTAGCTTACACACATCAGTGGCTTCTGTTCTGTTAATAGTGCCATAGTCACTTGTTAAAGTACTCTTGGAAATTTTCTCCAGTTCTTCATAACTGGTTTTACAGTAGAACCTAGACAAAGTTCTAAACAACTCCTGTGTAAAGAGCAGAACTTTCATTGTGAGGGACCAACTCATATAGGCCATCATCGAAACACAGACTGGTATACTGGCTGAAACTCAATGTAAGAAGCAGAGTAAGCACAATGTGTGCATGGCTGACTGGAACCCAAAAGTAGCTTCAAACTGAAGGATGTGATGTCATCCTGCTAAACCACTACAAGATTACCCAGTCATGGAGCAGAACACCCAAAGGAAAGTTCACTCTGAATCATACAAATTCCTGCTTCCGCTCTCTGTTTTGGAAAATAACAGGGGCTTATATTACTTTACATGTCTCTGGTCATGCTGTTTCATAGTCTCTCCTTCCAGTGTTAAAGAAAGTGTCATTCTATCTGTAGGCGGCAAAATCCATGGCCCACTCTCCTTTACTTTTCCCTGCTTTACCTCTTCTGTGTACCTTGAACCTCAGAAAGAAGACTCCCTTTGGTTCTTGCTATTCTCTGTCTACTTTAAACCATAGCTTTCAGTACTTGAAACAATTGTTGGACTCAATAATAAAATGCTATGTCATTAGTATAGACAATTTATTAAATAAAATGTTAAGGAAAGAAATACCTGAAGCAAATTCCACTTTCCAGAGCCAGCTACTGGGTAACATTTTAAAGTAAGTGGTTTTTTCCCCTATAAACTTGTTTGTTTGGTTTCAATTTATGTTAGAATAATATGAATTCTTTATGTTCTGTTTCCAGTTGGTTGCAACAAAAACATTATATACAATAGAAATCTCATCTTCAATACAGTTTTATTGACTTATAATATACCAAATTGTCTGGTGATTAGAATTTTTTTAAAGATTGAAAATTTATTTTTATTGTGTGTGTTTTCTTTGCATGTAAATGTGTGCATCATATGCATGCAATGCCCTTGGAAGCCAATATAGAGCAACAGTAGCCTGGGAAATGGTTGGATTTGTCATGTGAATGTTGGGAATTGAATCCTGGTTCTCTACAAGAGCATCGAATGTCCTTAAATTCAGAGCTGACTCTCCTGTGCCCTGATGATTAGGCTTTTATCACCCCATTTAACTTATTTTCAGATGAATCTAGAGATACTATGCCAAATTGTAAATATTTTGGGAAACTTTGTATACTTGGCAAATATTTGCATATAGTGTTTAGAGTCTTACCCATTTTCCACAAATATAGTTCAATGAATGCTTGTTTCATGTTGTCATGTTAAATACTTTAATAGTCATTGACAATTGGACAATATTGCCTAATAATGCTGTGTTTTGCTTCTTTAAAGATAGGTAAACAACATCAGCACATATAGTTATTTACTAATTTCATATTATATATTGTGAAAAATGTTTCTCGTATTTTCAGATTAGAAACTACCTAAGTAGCATGTTCCTTTATATTTTTTTAAAAAATGAATCCTTTATTACTAATAGTGAAAATATTTTTCTTGCTCATTGTTGTTTTCAATTCTTATTCTCTTTTCAAAATGGCCATCTCTGTAGGCATGCAAATTTGTATATGTCTTAAATATCTTCCAAAACTATATGCCATTTTTCTATTGTGACTTACAGGCTTGCATCTCTGAATTCAATAAACTGCATGCAGTGTAGGACTCGAGGAAGAAATTCTATACATTTTCAGTGATTTTTCTTCTACAACAAAACTTTATTTTTTGTCTTTATTTTGTCATTTTCTGTTCTTTTGTAATTTACTGAAATCTTACTTTGCTAAATTAAAATTGTACTTACAAAGATTTCAGGGCTGAGTATTTCAGTGGTAGAGAGCTTACCTAGCACGGGGCCTGGGCTTCAATTACTATCGTAGCAAAGGAAAAAACACATTTTGTAAATGTTATATCCTGAACCTAACACGGGTTCACCCTTATATTTCCATCATTCTAGAGATTACTTTAAAAGGATTGGTGTGAATTTAAAGCTAGCCTGGGCTATAGAGAGTTAAGCTCTAATCAATTATAATGCTTTAAAATTCATTATCTTGATTGGCAGTGGTGGTATACACCTTTAATCCCAGCACTTGGGAGGCAGAGGAAGGCGGATCTCTGTAAGTTCGAGACCAGCCTGGTCTACAAGAGCTAGTTCCAGGACAGCCTCCAAAGCCACAGGGAAACCTTGTCTCAAAAAAAAAAAAAAACAAAAAACAAAACAAAAAACAAAAAACAAAAAAGGTTCATTATTTTACAAATATATTCATTCATTATTGCTATTCACTTTTCTGCTAAGTTAAATTGCACAGAGCAGTTCTCCTTTCTCAGATACCATAGCAACCACATCTTTACTGCTTCCCTTCAGGCTGTTTCACATTTTTTTAAGATGTTGATTTGTCGAGTTCCACATAGATGAGCCCCTTATTATATGTGTTACAATATGATGGCTTCTGATGATGCCCGAAAGGACAAACAGAGTTTTCTATCTTATAGGGCTAGGAAATTGGAGTTCTACAAATAAATAACTCCCATCTTACTCCTGGAAATATATTGTCAGCTTTTTTTATACCTTTTTCCACAAGACTATAACTTGTGTGAGGCCAACAAAACAAAACAAACAAAAAACAACTAGCATACTTTACATTTTGTTAGCTTTACACATAAAATTGTCACTATTAGTATCATTTTAATGTCATAAGATAAAACATAAAATAATTTTAAAAGAACCATAGCCTCTAAAAAATTAGAACATGTTAAGAGTACTTAAAAATTGCTAACATATTTTTTTAAAAAGTCTAGTATCTTATCTGAATGTGCTGAAGTATGCCTTTAATCCTAGCACTCAGAAGGCAGAGGCAAGAGTATATCAGTGATTTCAAAGCCATTCTAGTCTACAAAGTAAGTTACAGGACAGCTAAGGCTAGAAACCCTATCTAGAAAAAGAAAATAAAATGAAAAGTCCAGTATCTTTCAACTGTGGCTCCTGTGAAATAAAAACAGTAAGTTACATAATTCTTTTTCCAAGAGAGTACAACCAGTGCACAGTTACAATTGTAGCAATGGAAAATCAAATTTTGACAGTGCTAATAAGTCAATGTCCAATATCTGGGACTCACACATGATCCTCTGGGTTCTAAAGGCCTTGGGCAACTCTACTTTTGTTCTAAAGTACAACTTGTCTTTTAGGCTCATGTTTGCTCTA